GTTTTAAGGAAACTTTGGCTTGTCTCCCGAGGCCACATGAGGGCGCAATGAGCAAAATAATGCAGCACATTTAAATTGTCAACGCAAGGACATAAGCATTTTTGCATTTGATTGCATTTAAAAACATGAGACGCAGTGAAAAGGAATAAACCTCCACAAATTCGCGACGTGTTTTCTAAAAGTTTAAACTATTTTAACTTTGCATGGCTTTCTATACATCTCTTCTGTGAGACGTGAGTGCAGCAGTCATATTTGTCCGTCTAAAAATGCACTAAATATGCGTTCTGTGTGAATGGCTTGGTTTTAACCCATTCAAGATCTTCTCCGCATTAAGCTTCTATATTTCTCTAATATTTTGAATGCATAATGCAGCAACTGCGCGTCTCGTGGGCTAGACTAACAAAACATTAAAATACAACAATGTCACTTACATCATCATCACCGCATCTCGTGCTCCACTGATGACACTTCCTGACGCACTCCTAACATTTGATTGTACTATTTTTGCATTCAAATGCAAATGTTTATTTTAAATTCGACTAATATTCATTCTTTATTCACAATCTTCTCATCACAGGCAGGCACAGCACTCATTTCAGCATGTGTTCGTGTTTGTGTGTGCAGTCTGTGTCACTCATAGCACGTGCCTATATCGTGCACTATATCAAACATTTTTTATATCGTTATCGAAGAAGGTGTACCGTCGATAAATATTGATACCGTTTTTTTTTTTACACACAGAGTCATATATAAAGATGTAGGGCCCAGAAGAGTGTGAAATTCGATGTGAAACCTAGATGATCTTCTTGACTGGTGTGCTGGGGAAAGTTGTGGTTATACTGTACACTCGTTCAATTCAATTCAATTCAAGTTTATTTGTATAGCGCTTTTCATGTGTCAGAAATTGTTTGCATTCAAAAAGTGTTAAATTATATATAAAAATAGTTAAATTCATTCATTGATCTTGTCCATGGTGTGATGTACTTTGCTCTGCTCCAATATTTTCTTACTTTCCTCTCCAGAATATTACAGAAAACTGATTTCTTGTCAAATTAGAATGAGATCTTATTTTTACCATCAATACATCCCAGTTGTGATCAGAGGGTTGAGAGATTGTATCTGGAGCAGAACGTGTGGAGTACTGGTGACAGCGTGCGTGGTAGTGTGTCTGCTTGACACACAAATGAGTCCCTCATCAGGATTTTGAGGGCACGACAAGATGGGTTCGTTAAATTAGTTCATGCTAATCGGGGTGGGGAATTAGTTAATTCTCCCAGGATGCCTCAGTCCTTCATTTGACTGCTCCTCGTTCGTCATGGGAGGATTGACCTGACTGCAGCTATTTGAGAGATGTCCTTAAAACTGTTTTTTTAGGTGTCTTAATTCAAATGGTTAAGTAACTGTGTTTGTGTCTGTCTGTTTTCTTCATGTGTTATTGTTTTTATGGGTACTGAAAGTGGTTTGTCTGTGCATCTAGACTGAAAAAATATTTGTCATAATTAGTATATTTGTCGAATTTTCAAATACAAACATCTTTAAAATAAGATAAATTTACCAATAAGATACATTTATAAAGTCGTTGACATGAAATGAAAATTCACCTGTTTCATTCTTCTCTTTTGTAAATGCATATCATAGATCTTATTGTGAACAAATCACCTGTCTTTTTTTTTTTTTTTTTTGACTTCGTAATGTTTCATCAAAATATGTGGTCCAATACTCATTTATAACAATACTCGTTTCAATGTGTAAAATCCATTCTCATTCTCCTATGGTTCTGATATTCTGTCTTATACACGGGAGGCTGGTTTTAGGACATTTAGATGCATGCACACACACCTATCTTTATTTTTTGTCTGGTATGTTTCAGCAAGTTTTTAGAAAGTTTGACAGCATGGAATCAGCAGGCACCGTCTCAAGAGGTCATATTTCACTCAACCTTTCTTACAGAAAAAGCTGGTCATGATGGGTACAAACATGTCCGTAGCATCAGAATATCTTGTAATGGAATACAGGAACAAGAGCAGAACTGTGGGCAGCAAACAGCCATTAGGAGCATGTCCACACTCCCAGGAGTGGCATTAAGGCATTATGGTGAAGAGTTACTTCATTCCAGGAGAGTCTCTCCTGCTAGAGTCCTTATTCATCCTCTAAATCTTTAAACAGTGATGCTCTTAGACTTCCTTCCACAACTGTGGAGCCAGACTGCAGTGATACAAGAAAAACTCAATTCTGTTCTTGCATAAGCGCTGAGGTTTTGTGTCCTTCAAGAATAAAGGGCTGTTCGCTCATACAGTGCTCTGCAGTGTGAAAGCGATCGGAAAGTTATTAATTTACGAAGAGTTGGCCAGTATTAGTCACTTGAGCGACAGTGAACTTTGGTGATGTGAGTGTGTTGAGTGTCTGCCAAAGTTGAGAGTATTTTAACTTTATGCAAATGAGTCACGACTACCAGTTGGCTTGAAAACTGTCAGATACTGTATTCAGATGTAGGCAAAATGAAGATCAATGAATCAATTTATCTCTTTTTGAATGCCAACAATTTCTGACACAAATGTTTCCATATATATATATGTGTGTGTGTGTGCATATCATAGATCTTATTGTGAACAAATCACCTGTCTTTTTTTTTTTTTTTTTGACTTCGTAATGTTTCATCAAAATATAAAATTTAATTCATTTGAGCACAACAGCCACAGCTCAAAATCCAATCAACAATTGATGAAACCAAGTCCCCTCCCTAATTTTTTTTCTTTTCCCATTATTGATTTTACTCGGATGTACGTCACAATACAGAGGAAAAAAATCTGTCTATACATCTGTTTCATTGAAACTTTAACAAATAAAATAGGAATGAAGATAGTCTTCTTTTCAGAGAATAATCTTTTTTTATATTTCTAACCCTGTTAGCAAGTTTTTTTTCTTATTTTAAGCATAAATCTAACAAAATGTAGTGATATTTACTCAAAAAAGGTGGAGTAAGTTAAACTTGCTTCTCATGTAAATGCATTTAGAAAATACTGATCATGAAAATTATTTTTGTAGTGTAAATGTCTGACATGTCATTATGAAATGTGTGGGACATCTGGGCAACTTGCAGAAAAGCCACAGAAAAAAAATTATAACAGGGTAGGTGGACTGTCAGTGCAGAGGAGCCAGAAAAGAAGGTGGACAGATATTCCTCTGCAAAAGGAATGGTTTACCCCAGTAAAGGGAGGAGGGGCAAGTGTGGACTGACAGAGAGGAGGGGGAGAAATGAGGAGCAGGGAGTGGGGAGAATAATGTGAGCACTGCAGAGGGGGAATGGCAGCAGCAGCAGTGTTTCTCTCTCTCTCACACACACACACACACACACACGCAAACACTTCCAAATAAATGGCTGTAATGTCGGGCTACGTAAAAAAAAATCATAGTATGGATGCTGGCACTGAGGTGGACTGAGATAAACAGATTATATTGATTGCAGGTGATAGGAGAAGAGGATGTGGGCTTTAACAAGAGACGTGTACTAGCCAATCAATGCACATCTATCTGCAGGAGAGCCAACATGACATCTCTGTTTTCAGAATGGTGGCCACGCACAGCGCACACTGCTATAATTCACCAGCCCTCCCTTCCTCTTTTCTCCCCCTTCCATTTCCTTATGCTTCTAAATATACATTTCTTTTTTCTCTCCCTTTATCCCCTTCCATTACAGGTCTTTGTATACGTACCATCTCTTCTCATTTTTTTCTGCCTCCATCATCCATTCTCCTCGTCTGACTCACAAAGTCTGCTTTTCCCCATCTTCTTCCCCTGTGGTGTTTCCTCAGTGCAGCATGTCAATGAGACTGCTGCATTCACACCGTTCCCACTATTCTCAGAGCACTTTTGCTGTTTTGTTGTAGTATTTGGCGCCCTCTATCTGTAGTACACCTCCTTCTGATTGTGAAGGACCTCTGCAGTGGTCCAAACTGCATCACAGCAGCCTCTGGATGTTAAAAGTGCTTATTCTGTCATGTAGACTATTTTATTTTCAAGGGTCTTTCCATGCGCTTGTGTACCTGATGCCAACAGCTTATGGCTTTAAGCACAGAACGGGAAGGCTGGCATGCCATTTGATTTAGAAAATCTATATAGAAAAGGGTTTTCAATCTTTTTCAGGCCAAAGCCCTTTTGTTGTATTGTGAGACCAAGCATGGACTCTCTGTTACATATTGTTGAAATTGAGCATTGCCGTTTAAGCCTGGTCTATAATAACACGTGTTGAATTATATTGATACATTCACATAGACTATGGTACTTAAATTGTAAAGCCATTAAAATAACTATTATTGTTACACTTACATTTTATATAGTATATTTTAATGTGACAGGAAGAATGAAATGTATTTCAGCTTCTCAAGGTTAGCTTTAGCTTGGATCATGTTCATTTGTTTTACAAAAAGTAAGGTCCCAATGAATGTACGTACTCATGCACTCTTCTGTGCCATTTGATAATAGTGTGAGTAGTGTGTTCACACTGAAAATTCGGCAAGAAACCGTGCACTTCAAACACCTAGACGGTACATATATCTAACTGAAAAAAAAAAACAGTGTGGAATGGTTTCATGCGCTTTACTGTCGCAGCTTTCCTTAGCGGAAGGGGAATGGTTAGCAGACACTGGACGAGAAAATAACCTTCAAAAAATATATAGTGTATATTTTGTCATTTGGGACACAACTTTGGTTTACTATCAAACAATATTTATCAGAGCCCCTGTTGAAGACTCCTTATCTACAGTAGAGCAGCAGTTTGCAGAGGAGAAAAAAGTTAAGATGTTGATGATGTTTTAGATCAGACTGTCGTTATTTTTGCAGTTCTGCCACAGAAATGACACACTTCAGCTTTAAGCACTGTACCAGTTCTTTATTCCAATAGTGATCTCACTGATTTCACTGTATAATATTAATGTGCTCATCTTCTCATCTCTCTTTGTGTCTTTCTATCTCTCTCTGTGTCTCCCTCTCTCTGTTTCCAGTATGTGGCGTTCGGCTCGCTCCTGTTCATCCTCATCTCCATCTCAACATTTTGCTTGGAGACACACGAGGCCTTCAACACCATCTACAATAAGACAGAGAACGTGACGGTGGGGAACGTCACGCGGGAGGAGGTTGTGTTTGAGGTAGTGACTGACAACTGGCTGACCTACGTGGAGGGCGTGTGCGTCATCTGGTTCACCATCGAGGTGTTCGCCCGTGTCATCTTCTGCCCGGACAAGGCCGAGTTCTTCAAGAGCTCGCTGAACATCATCGACTTTGTAGCCATCCTGCCCTTTTACCTGGAGGTGGCGCTGAGCGGCCTCTCCGCTAAAGCAGCGAAAGACGTGCTGGGCTTTTTGCGCGTGGTGCGATTCGTCCGAATCCTGCGAATCTTCAAGCTCACGCGCCATTTCGTGGGGCTAAGAGTGCTGGGTCACACGCTCCGTGCCAGCACCAATGAATTCTTGCTCCTCATCATCTTCCTCGCTCTGGGGGTGCTCATCTTCGCTACCATGATCTACTACGCCGAGCGTATTGGCGCCGACCCGGCCGACCCCACGGCAAGCGCCCACACCACCTTCAAAAACATCCCCATCGGCTTCTGGTGGGCAGTGGTCACCATGACCACACTGGGCTATGGAGACATGTATCCAGAGACATGGTCTGGTATGTTAGTGGGTGCCCTGTGCGCCCTGGCGGGCGTGCTGACCATCGCCATGCCTGTGCCCGTCATTGTAAACAACTTCGGCATGTACTACTCTCTGGCCATGGCCAAGCAGAAGCTGCCCAAGAAGAAGAACAAGCACATCCCACGGGCGCCGCAGCCTGGATCGCCCAACTACTGCAAGCCAGACGCCCTGGCCATGGCCACTGCCTCGCCGCACAGGATCATGGGTAATGTGCTGGGCAGTATGGTGGTCTCTGGAAGCATGGCAGGAGACTGTCCTCTTGCACAGGAGGAAATCATAGAGATTAACAGAGCAGGTGTGTGTGTGTGTGTGTGTGTGAGTGTACCCATGTGTTTACGTGTTTGTGTGCATGACGTTTCTTTGCACTAATAGGTTACATTCCCAACAATAAAGGTGCGATCACATTTACAGTTGCTCTGTGAAATTTAGCGGGTGAAATTGTGACCTCATGATTGGGAGTTTTGCATGAGAGCGAAAAAGTTGAATTTATCACACAGATTGAAAGTGACTACTGTGTGAGCTGTGCTTTCTACATTGCCTCACTATTCACAAGCGATAATTTTGCCTGAAAAATGTTGCTTAAATTTCACTAATGTGACCGCACCTTAAAGGATTAGTTGTATGATTATATTATGAACAAAAAATGCTATTGACGCACAACATTTCAAGTGTGTGTATTTTTGTGTGTGATGTCAACTAGCTCCATCTCACCCATCAAGAAAGTTCAAATGCCTGTGGTCATTACTTACAGCTCTTTATAATGAGCTGTCATCACCTAAACTGGGTCTTTTATATAATCTTGTGTAATATCTACAAACATACACACACAAGTATTTGAGAGTAGTAATATGCAAAACTATGCTGTCACGGCCGAGTTAGACAGAGAACAGGAAAGTTATTAAAATCATAGCAGGATTACGCTTCATGCGTTCCAGTCAGTTTCTTAGACTACCAGAAAACATCCCACCCAATCAGAAGAGAAGGGAAAATGACCCTGAAACTAGCAAACAGCTTTTGGTAGATGATTGACATAGAGCTTACAGTACTATTTGTGTGTGCAGTTTATTTGCACACTCACTGCAGCAACACATTTTCCTAATCAGCATATTTTTATATATCCAGTAAAAATATTTTGCTTCTCAAGTAAAGTTTTTCTTGATGTAAGGATGTTTAACAGTACAACAAGATCTAAGAACTTTAAGAACATCTTTTTTTTACCGTTTTTGCATGTGAAGGTGTCAGTCAGGTTGAGCCAGTGAGTTCATGCAGCCGAGAGAGCTCCGTCTGTCATTACTGAGCAGAACACAGATATACACACCCCGATTAACATGAGCCAGATTAGTCACAGCCTCTCAGATTAGCATATGCTATATTTGATCTATAATATAAGCAAAAGGTTTCAAATCACCAGCACTCTGCTTACTGCCACATATCTGCCGATATTTAGATGATTTCAACACCAAAGATACACATTATGACAGATGAGAGTGCATCCTTATAAATAGGATGGCTTTAGATCGTTTATCTTAGAAAGTAACTTTTTTGGAATGTTAAGTGGATGACAGCTGTAGTTCTCGGCTCCTCCTCTTTGTTTTGCTCTTCCATGGAGTTCTCACAGCTGGAAGTTCCCAAGGAAATGAAAGGGAGCATAAGCATCCTGAGACGCTTGCTGTGAGGAAATGCTTTAGCACATGTGCCCTCTTGTAGCTTCAAACCATTCCCACATGCCCTTGACACCTACAGTACTGGCATCATATCCATCATGTGTACTGTTAATGAAGTTTTATTAAGTAGTGTAAAACTAAAAGTATGAAACATATAACAAAGTCATTTGTTTGTCACCCGTCCCCATGTGTGAGTGTGGTGGGGGATTTTTGGCTTGCGTGAGAGGTGCTCTGATTCTGTAACTGATTTTATGCTGAAGGTTTCTAAAAGGTTCACCCAAAATTCCAAACCCATATGGTTACATTTTGTGAGTGGAAAACACAAGGAGATGTTTTGTCTGAGCTGCTCCATTTCATACAGTCAAATTGAATGGGGTCAATACAATAGCTTTATGTGAGGCACAGGCAGAAATGTACTCATTATTTACTCAAAATCCAGCCATGGTTTCCATTTACTTCTGTTGTATGAAAAGAGCAGCTTGAACATTGCTCTAGATTTCTCCTTTAGTGTTCCACGGATAAAATAAATCCATGTGGATTTTTAAAGAAACTAGGGTGAATAAATGTTTTTTATTTTATTGTATTATAAGTATTTTTATCATCTCTTCAATGGTTGTCATTTAATGGCTGTCAGGAAAGTGAGTTATATCTGGTGTAGTGAACCTTATGTCATGACCTTTGCTATAGACTTTTATGTCATCCATTCATCACCCTTTGTCACCGTTCAACTGTGAACGTGTTCATCTTAACAGATTTCATGGTCATATGCATTTTCACTGATAAATATTTTTAATTTCTTCCAATGAGGTCCAACTGCATAACGGGTCTCTGTCATCTTCTCCCTCGCCTCCCCATCCTCCTTTTTCTTTCCATCTGTCTCCATGTCTTTAGCAGGCTTTGCCCCTGGCTTATTTCTGTAAATTGTTGAGCGGTAGCTCACGTCAGATTAGATTTGACAGCTGTGTCGGAAGCTATAAGAACCAAACACGTTATTATACTCATACTTTCAGTGTGCATCACACAGAACAGGCTCAGGAAAGGTAAGTTGTATGTTCAAATGCTTATTATTGCATATTAGGGCAAAGACCACATACATCGTAGCAATATATATATATATATATATATATTTTATACACAAATATACATGCACTTCACAAAGTACATCAGAGGTATACACATTAAAACAGACTCTCCCGCATCCATACTAACAGCATAGCTCCCCGCCTTCCCCTTATGCATTTCTCCTCATAATTCACCACATCAATCATTCTGAAGGCCGCTCATCATTAGCAAAGCTCTTACCACACACGCAGTAGTAATTCAATTCATATCTTTGTTAAATGTGTTTAATCTTTGATAAAATCAGGACTTTTGAGAGAAAATAATCCTAGCGCAAGTTAAATTATTAACAGATATATCAAACAAATTCACTGCGTCTGGCCAACAAGCTCTTCAAATGCTGTCTTTCTGTCTATCCATCTATCTGTCTGTTTGTCGATATATCTGTCTATCAGTCTGGGTTGTGCAAAATTCTGAATGAGAAGAATTGGCTTTCTTTCAATTTAAGAGTTTGAATTTTATTGGCCACATCTCAGAGGAAGTTAAACTGGAATTCAAATTGGAATGACAGGAAGAGGAGTTTAATACAGATAATGCATTCTGTTTTTCCATCTTGCTTAATTTATTACATATTTTTTATGAAATTTCAAAGCTTCTAAAATATTTTAATTAGTTAACTCTTCTTCCTTACATTTAAATGCAAATTGCAATTCTGATTCCTGTTTTCTACCTAAATTCAGATTCAGGAAATAAATGAAAATTCCTGACTCAATTATGAATAACACAAAACCAGCTACCTGTCTGTCTCTCTGTCTAGTTGTATCTCTCTCTCTCTCTCTCTCTCGCTCTCTCTCCCTCTCTCTCTCTCTCTCTTTCTCTTTATTTGTCTATCTGTCTGTCTGTTTGATCTACCTGTCTATCTATCTATATATCTACTGTATCTGTCTATCTATCAGGCTTGCCTTTGCTCTTTCTTGCTCTCATTCATTGATTTTTACTTCATTCTCTTTCTCTTCCTGGCTTGTCTCTGCCCATGTCTCTTTCCCTCCATCCATCCCCTCATCTTGCCCCTTTTCTCCTTATCTTCTGCACTTTGCGTCACATCCTCTTGAATCTGCTCTTTTTTTGCAACGGCATGATTGACATCTTCTGCCTTTCTTTCTATACTATACCTTCCTACTCCTGCACCTTTCCACCAACCTCCACATATTCCAAATACACCCCTCTACACAACCAAATCCTACAACCCCCCACCCACAAAAACACTAGAAGCTGCAGGCGCCAACCCAGTCTCCCCCCCAGCAGAGGAGTGGTTCAAGCCGGAAGGGCCACTGCTACAGCAGGACCTCAATGCCAATTCTGCCTCTTCTTGGATCAAACCATAATGAATCAGAGGTAACACTCAAAAAAGCAACCAGTGATGCAGTGTAGAAATTAGTTGAATGAATAGAGCTTAATATTTAATTAATTCCATACAGTACAGTGCTATTTCAAAGGGAAATATTTTTTATATGCACATATTTCAACAGGATAGATGCATACATTAGAGCAACCATGGATATGAAATGCAAACATAACTAAGCCACACTCGGGACTAAAGTACACAATACTAAACTGAGCTTTTATAGAGGTTAATGTCTCTAAGAAATACATGACTTAAGTAAACTTGCAGTATGTTTTATCATTAAGAGGAACAATATGCCTTTGAGTCAGAGGGGATGATGTGTTCTATAAGTTCTGTCTCTGTGTTTGACAATTTAAACATTGATATAACTTAAGTATTTAATATCTGCATAGACTAAATTCACACAGTGAGATCAGTCATGACAGTGTCACTTTTGTATTAATGGGCAATGTTTTTTTTGTTTGTTTTTTTTTTTCAATTTGTCCTGAATTAATTTATTCTAGCCTTTAATATTATTTCTAACCTAATAACACATGCAGCATCAAGTTCTATAATTCTAAATTATATCAAATCTAAAATAAATTAAGTAATGGGTAGTCCATAAGACATCTTAACCCAATAAATTCTAGAATACCCTTTAAATAATTGATACATGTATTTTTAAAGGGGTCCTATTATGCTTTTTTACGTTTTCAACTTTATTTAGTCTGTAATGTTGCTGTTTGAGGATAAAAAAGATCTGCAAAGTTACAAAGCTCAAAGTCCACTTCAAAAGGAGATATTTTATTTAACAGAAATCACTTTTCAAAAACTACAACGAATGACTCGTTTGGACTACAACGCATATTTTCCGGGATTTGTGATATCATAAAGATCGACGAATGGGATGAGACCTGGTTGAGCTGTGTAACGAGAGTTATCATCACTATGTCGGAGACATGCTAGCTTTCCTCAAGGCAGACGAACTTAGAGTGGTTACAATCATCTGGTTTAAATCGCGCTCAAATTGATTTGATTTTGACGCCATATTTACACTGAAGCTCGCAAGCGACTATGGTAAGGGCATTTCCCAACCAGGCGCCAAGTGCTGCCAATCACAGCACACACTAGCCCAGCTAACCAATCACAGCACATTTTGTATTTCAGAAGGCGGGCCTTATTCGAGCC